AAATGCAACAGAAAAGTAGCTTTCATAAGTGAAAAAAAAATGTGAGAAAGAAAAAATAGTCCAGAAATGGCTAGAGATTTCCTTCTTCAATTTACATTGTCTTCAAAGGTAAGAACAGGTAGAAAGTAGATAAGTGTTCAGAAGATACAGACACTTGTAGCTACTTCAAATCTATATATTTATAAGAAAACTAACTCAGCCTAGATCAATCTGTAGCTGGTATTTCCAAAGACAGGTGACATGTTATGTATGACAGGCACAGTGAGTTGGCTCCCTTTTATGGCCTATGTCATTTTCTATATTCTCCCAATATTATCAGCAAGTCAGTCTAAGCTTTGAGTCTTATACTTTTATCTTCATTATCTTCATTATCATCACCATGATGAACTCTCATCGATTTTTCCCATGGTTCTTAACATGTTCACTCTTCCTATTATATTAAGAGCACTGCTGGGAGGGTTGGAACGTGTCTTATTTATCCTATTTTTCTAGTACTTGGACTACACTACCTGGCATGTAGTAAGCAACCAGCAAATTTTTGTTAAGTAAACAAATATAGAAAATTTATTTAAATGATGGAACGTTGAACATGTTTTTGAACAAAGCTAGAACTAATCACTATTACACAAAGCAAAATATTTGAATTAAGGAAGTCTTTAATTCAAATCTTGGCTTAGTAGTTCAGTCAATATTCAATAAGACTGTAGAGAGGATAAGTGGAGGAAGGCATATGAATACCATTTATAGCTCCTTGGAGTAGGCCAAAAATAAATGTCCTTCTCTTAAATAGCCATGTGGACAAAAACAATACTCAAGTAACAGTCCATTCTATATTAGATAAGTATAAAATGATTTGCACTAGAGGCTTTGTATTTCCTGCTGGAAATCCCTAAGATTAAACTAAACTTAAAAAAAAAAAAGTTGAATGTTAAACACTAGTTTTCAATTTTATATATATATATATATTTTTTTGAAGAAACATGCACCAAGTACCAATGTATATGTTAAAAAGACTATATAGTTTACATTGAATTCTTGTTTTTAAAATAAGCACACCAAATACTAATGAGTATGTTAAAGACTATTTAGTATACACTGAGTTCTCTTTTTTAAAATAAGCTTAAATTGCTAAAAATATTTTAGTATACAACAGATGAGAACTTTTTTCCTAGCATCAAATATATAAATCAAGGAATCTAGCAAAATATGTCCCATGAATTAGTTTCTCACTGAGTTTAAAAATGAGTGGCTCAAGTGCTGTGTTACCCAAAAGATGGCATGTTATTCTTGTATACAATGGTCATGTGAAGGAGTTATTTATATGGGATGAAGTAAAGCACCAAGCAGGGAATTTAAGGAAAAAATTGCAAAAGAAAGAAAAAGAATTTAGGAGGTAAGAGTTCTAATTCCACCTTATTTTGACTGACTCCATCATTATGCTTTAATAAAAAAAGAGTGGCCATTCAATAATTAATAAAGACAATGAAGCTGGGATGGTCTCCTATGAGCAGCACAGTTTTGTGGTATAACAGAACTGGTTCTGTGGCTGAAAATCAATCTTTTATACTGTTTTCCTGATCTTCAGAAGTTCTTTAAAGAGTGAAAAACTTTGATGCTTTAAATATCATGAGTTTGTTATCAAAGATACTTGTTTGATCTACAACATTTGCAGACATAAGACAGGAAACTTGAAAGATCCTCTGGGCAGGAGTTAAACTCACAGTTGCTAGAATATTAATATGTAAGCTTTCTCTATGTATATCCACGAAGTTCTTATCATTTTGCTTTGAGACCTTGGACAAAGCCTAAGTTTGCAATGTCTCAGTTTTTCTTCTGTAACGTGGGAGTCATAAATAATACATACCTCTTATGCTGGTTGTGAGGATTAATTAAATACTCAAACACAAATATCTATTGAGCATCTGTTATATGCTGAGGATACAGCAGTGAATGAAGCCCTTACCTACTCCTTCATAGTTCTTAAAACACATTAAATACTCAATTATGTCATTATCTTAGAAATGTTAGACAGAGCTCAAAGAGTGAGACTGTATGCAACTTGAATGTGCATACCCATTTTAGAATTCTTGGTACATTTAAAATTTGTTGGCAAGGTGAGAATCTACAGCAGATTCAGAATTGGGATTCTTTCCATACTCCTCATTCTTGTCCTTTGAAAGGTACTACTTGTATAGGTTGACTTTAGTAGGTTGTGGGCTATATTTTTATACTTTGTATTGTTAACTGTGGAATTTCAAATACTTTTGCTAAGAAGCTAACCTATGAGGTTATTTCCAAGCAGTTTTCATTATAGCAAAGATCTGAATGTGACTCATCACAAATTCTCTTTGCACATATGTATCTGGTACTCTTACATAACAGAGGTGAGGTGCTGGCTACTGGAACATACAAAGTAAAAGTGGAAGTTTCTTGATCTCAATTTATTAAGGGTTAGAGCATTGATAGTTATTGGGAGTTTCAGAAGTCTTCTGTGACTGAGCAGAAAATCCACTAAGTGAGAAGATGAACATGACAAAGGATAGTATAAAGGATAGTATTGTCAGAGGCTATGATAATACAAAGGTGTCCACATAAAGAGGGAGAAGTAATGACTTGGAAGTAGCCATGGCAAATAAGGAAGAGGTGAAACCTATCATCTCACAAGTATATGGGTCAAGGAAGAATGAGCAGCAAGCATTTGACAGGGTTGCAAAAGAATCAATGCTTTCTGTGGAATGTGAGGTTTCAAGACAGTTCTAAATTATGTATAGGAGTAGCTGAACAGTTCTAGTACTTATGGCTCTGCTTCCAGGTGAATCCTCCTGAAGAGGTTCTGGGTGTTGGAAGGACTCTATCAGTCATTCCACCAGAAGTCAGCAGAGTCCATCTTTGGTGAAGTTCCATGGAAATCCTACACCAGGTGGGCAGGCTGGAAACAGACTCCAGAGACTCAAACATTTATCATGTAATTACCATTGCCCCTCCACCCCCACTTCCTGGCAGATTTTTTTTGGGAAAGTATTGCCATGTCTGAAGTGGATCACAAACAGATTAACCCTATCTTTAAAATTTACATTCACTGAGATTATGAATCTTCAATACCATTTTAGATAAGAGTTTAATATATATTAGAGGCCAAAATGAAGAAGTTAAGATTAGCTATAACATTAGCTTATAGTTGATTATATAACCTTTTATTAGTAATTTTTAACTGTTCTGTACTACAGCTTATTAGAAAAACGTTTGGGATAATGTCTTGACTACTTTCTGCTATCCTAGGCAAATGAGAACATATTCCTAAGAGTTCTTTAGAACAAAGGAATAAAACACAGATGCCTTTAAACATAACTGCCAAACTAGAAAATCTTCCTAAGAAAATTATAATTGATAACTCAATGCAGAGAGCAACAAGAAAAGGACAGGATTTAGCATTTTTAAGATATGGTAAATATTGAAAAATAAATTTAAACTATTTTGGAATGAACTGACCACAATTCCATTTAGAATCAGAACAATCATAACACTCTTACACATATGTAGATAGACACATACATACATACATACATACATACATAAAAAGATGTTTTACTGTAGCACTGCTTAAAAATTAATAATTATGGGGATTGTGGTTCAGTGATAGAGTGCATATGTGAGGCTGGGTTCAATTCTCAGCACCAAATATACATAAATTTACTGGAAGAATTACAATTGATAACTGTCAATTACTTACATGAAAAACACACATATCAAACACATGTACTCTGTTTTAATCTGAAATTCATTTCAACAGAAAGCCATATTAATTTTTTGAGCAAAAGGCACACTTCAATATTAAAAAAAAATAAAAACGATATTTGTGGTTTTCCATCATGTCTTTGAGAAGTACACATTATAGGGAAAAGATTTTTTTGTGCAGAATTTTAATAGTTAAGTAATGCTTGAAAAAAGAAAGATAGCTAACCCTTTCATGAATGTCCCTTTAACCAATTAGGATCAGCACCTAGGTATGAGCATGAAAAATGACTTTGCACTGATTAGCTGTTAATACAAAATAAACATATGTTACTGCATAGTAAGGGATGCAATTAAGAGCTAAAATGACAGACCCTTAATGAGACATTCATTAGGAGTAAAGTAAACTGAATTTAGAAAACTATGTATTCCACAAAGCTGTATTTACTTGCTTTAACAGCCCTTCTGGTCTCTGAAATTGTGATGAGAACTAGCTCCCTCAGCCTACACACATTTACAACTGATGCAATGTTCAATGGAATATTTTTAATGTGCTGCAAATAACTGAAATGTTGTCTAAATTATTTTCCTTTTACTCCTAAAAATAGAGCTATTCAGACTAGCATATTTAAAGTTTTAGATGAACTGTCCTTCTTGCCTAACACTGTTTATTATTATACCAGTAAAAAAATCATCAATAAGCAACATTAAATCAGACTTCTTATGGATATAAGTAATTGCTCAGTGTGCATTTATTTTCTTTTTCTTTTTGGTACTGGGGATTGAACCAAGGGATACTCAACCACTGAGCCACATCCTCAGCCCTATTTTGTATTTTATTTAGAGATAGGGTCTCACTGAGTTGCTTAGCAACTCTCCATTGCTGAGTCTGGCTTTGAACTTGTGATCTTCCTGCCTCAGCCTCCAGAGTAACTGGGATTACAGGCATGCACCACTGCATCCGACATATTTTCACTTAAATATTCATGCATATGTACATAAATTTTTGCATGTTACTTATTACATATCTCTTTAATATCAACTTTTACTTGGCAAGCACATCAAGTAAAAGGATTAGCACAAGCCTAAAATACTTAATGATGCTGCCTCCTCATGAATACTGCACTGATACTCAGAGTAATGCTTTGCAAGTTCAGTGGCCAAAAGGTTATGACTACCATTCTATACAACGCAAAGTAAAAGTTCTTTTAGGTATACTGATCATTGCAAACAGGTACACTGCCCACAATTATACGTAGTTTACTCACATCAGCATAGTGGCCTATCATATCACATCGGTCACATCGTTTTCTCCAGGAAGACCTTTCGAGACATCTATGATTGGAAGACATAGGCAAAGAACAATCTAAGCAAAATCGAGCTGGACAGGCATACTGGAGGTGTCCTCTCTCAGAACAGAGGCAGCAGGGACGGACTTTCTGTGGCAGACAAAAAGAAAATCTCTTTAGCAAAACATTTCAGTGTCAAATAGTGGAAAATTAATATTTCTTTTTCTATATAATTCCACATAAAATTATTTCTAATTTGAAACAACAATCCTGAGTATAACTGTAAAATCAAACAAAATGTTTGAACTTAAAGAGTTTTAACACAAGCTATTTATATGTCATGGTGCTGCAAAGTCCTAGTATGACTAGACTGTCAGTGGGCATTCACTACTCATGTATTGTCTTATAGGAATATTCAAAGTGAAAAGCATCAAAGAGAAAAATAGGATGAGGAGGATATCTAGAAGCTAAGTCAGAGGAGGAGCAGATATAGAAGAAGCAGTTTTGCCTAAAACAGCAAAAACAAAGATGAAATATAAGTACTGTCTCAATTACTTGAAAAACAGTCATCTGGAAAAAGGAATAAGTAAGGTAAAAGTTTGATTAGACCTTACTATATATCAGGGAATGTTTAAGAACTTCATTTCTATGATGTCCAAAGGCTGATGTATCTGCTTAAAATAATTACAACAATATATATTTGTAAATGAATAAAATTGTAATTCTCTAAAAATGAAAATTATCCCACAATGAAACAAATTGTTTCATAAGGAATTTTGGAAGGGAAGTGTTTCAGGACTCATTTTATGTAGTCTTTTCATTTTACAGACAAGAAAACCAAGGCGGAGAGTTAAATGATTTTCCCAAGGTTGTACAATTAGTAATGGGAAGCTGGAATTAACTCCAGGTTTTTCTGATGCTAAATTTAGTGTTCTTTACTCTAGGTCGGGCTGTGAGCTACATGAAATTTAACATACATTTACAAGACAGATTTGAATTCTAAAGTTATAGGGTTTCAACACTAAAATTTTGACTTTAATAATGTAAAAAAAAAGCATTACATGTTTAACATACTTGTGGTAGAGGGCAGTTTTTGGACAAATGGCCACATTTGTCACAATTTCTACAGGTAACATTTTTGTTGGCAGAATAGTATCGGCGGGTCCATCTTCCGGATGATCTGTTATTACCTATCTGGGCCTAAGAGAGGGAAAAAAGTCAAGAATTAAAAAAAAAAAATTATTTCATACTACTAAAAAAACTTTCCTTTTAGAAGAAAATCAGTCCCATTACTGTTTTAAAAAATATTTATTTTTTAGTTGTAGTTGGACACAATACCTTTTATTTTTTTATTTTTATGTGGTGCTGAGGATCAAACCCAGGGCCTTGTATATGCTAGGTGAATGCTCTACCTCTGAGCCACAACCCCAGCCCAGTCCCATTACTTTTTAAAGAAAAAACAATTAATAGTTACATTTGTTCAATTTTGAATCCAGCAACAGAGAACTTCACGATTTCTCTCTCATTCTCTTAAAAAGAAGTAGAAAGACATCAAAGGGATACCATCATAAATATAGCTCTCTTCCTTTTTGCCTGCTCTTTCTTTTCTGTTTACATTATTTCTTCTTTTTTCTTTTTCCACTTATAGTTCAGATCTAGCAGAGGTACTGATATGCATCATTTACATACTCTGGTGGCATTCAGAGTCAAAGTCATTGCTGACTTCTATACCTAAATCTACATCACATATTTCTGAATGAAAAGCCTGCTTAAATTTTTAGTTAGGGAATAGAGTTTTTATGATGTTCTCTTTTATAGTTATGTAACCACATAGCTGCTAAACACCTTCCCCCTTCTTTTGAACAGCACAGGGTTACTCTTAATGCCTAGAAGACTGCATTATAATTTCTAAAAGGAAAAGATCCATGCTGCTACACAGTTACTCAATTCTAGCTGCCCTATATTGTAGTCAAATTCTAATGTCTGCAAAGGAATATTAGAAAAAAATACATCATATGGAATACTTAAAGAGGAGTATATAAATCCCAACCATGCTTTTATCTCATTTGGCAGAATCCCATCTTTGACAATCTTCATCTTTTATTTGTTATTCTGCTGAACTTGCTAAGTAGGACAGTTATCTCTTAAAACTTCTATTCTTTTTTAGCATCTGTCACAAGAAGGCCAATATTTGACAAGGTCAAACACCTGCCATATCCTAAATATAGACTAACCATTTCCTTACACTGAAGAAGCAGTTATTTCCGGTGTTGATCTTTAGCAGTACCAGGACAGTGGGCTAAGAGGACTCATCAAGACAGAAGAAATAGAAAAGGAAAGAACCTATATCATTATGGCTATTAATCAGCTGATAAAAGTCAAGGCTGAACCAAATTTCTGAAAAGTTAAATCACTTACATACTGAAATCAAACTTTCTAAGCTATTTTGACTACTGCTGTTTTGAAAACATTTGATTCTTTCTAAATTTATTGTGATGAAATAAAAGGAAACCTTGTATCAAAGGAAAATTTATTAACCTATAATTCAAAATTTTAAAAACAATTTGACTTACCTCAACGTCTTTGTCACTGATGAACCAGTTTACATCATCTTCTCCTACAAAACAAATAAAATGTTACTCAACCTTGTCATCTTTAAAGCATTTACAGATAGACAATAGATCATTCAATTTGTTAGTACTCAAAGTGGATTCTAGAGGTATAGTGAGAAATGCTAAATATCTTATTAAACTTTTTTTTTTTTAATCTGTGCTGGGGCTCCAGCCTTGTGCATACTATGCAAGTGCTCCACCATTGAGTTATAGCCCTAGACCTAAATACTTTAAACTCTTTTTTTTTTTGAGAGAGAGAGAGAGAGAGAGAGAGAGAGAGAGAGAGAGAGAGAGAATTTTAATATTTATTTTTTAGTTTTTGGCGGACACAACATCTTTGTTTGTATGTGGTGCTGAGGATCGAACCCGGGCCGCACGCATGCCAGGCGAGCGTGATACCGCTTGAGCCACATCCCCAGCCCCTACTTTAAACTCTTAATTTTGCTCCCTAATCAGTTGTGTGGCTCTCAACAAATACCTAATGCCTTTGAGTCTGTGAAATGAGGATAACAGTATTTGCCCTGTCTACTGAAAATGTCCTATGAGAATTGAATGAGTTGCGAAAATGCTTTGAAAATCATTAACTATATACAAATATAAATTATCAGCGAAGGACCAACAATCCAAATATAAATTATCAGTGAAGGACCAACATCCAACAGAAGATGTAGAAAGAAACCTTATCTGAACTTCCTTATCTGACTCAAACAGAGCTTTACTGAGAAGCAGGTGTCCTTACCCAACATTCCTGGAGGCGTCCAGTCATGGAGATGATGAGGTAACTAAGACACATTCCAAAAAATTTGGGTAAACAAGTTTCAGCAGAATCTTCCCCACTATAATCCTCTGAACTCCTTAGTGAGTTATTCATTACTCAGTGATCCCACCAGTGTGTGAATAAACCTTGTCTTTTCTCCAGTTAATCTGCCCATTGTCAGTTAATTCACAGGTCCCAATTTAGACTTAAGTTGGTAGAAATTTTTTCCTCCCAACATTGGCATTAACTGTGTCCACTAGTTATCCATCTTAGGTGACTTTCATTGTAACATTTTAAAAAACCAAACTTTGAATATTAGTTCATTATTAAGGTTAGGGATTTTGTACTGGATTCAATAACACCCAAAACAGTGAAACAAAGGACCAAAAAAAGGAGGCCAAATATCCAGAAGCCATTGATTATCAACCTAAAAATACAACTGTAAAATATAGAGAGGAAGAAAAAAAAATTACTAAATTTTTCTATATCAGCTGTTTTCTTCTTTTTGTACTGTCCTTTTAAAAACTGAGGATGGCTGCCATTCCTCTGGTCCTCCCATGGCAAAGGAGGAAAAGGACCTATGACTAATGCAGAAGCTAAGGTGTCAACAAAGGATTGAAAGATTTTTCTTTCCCCCAAGGCAAAGTTAAGATTTCCTTCTACCTCCCACCTTACTACTTTCCTCTATCTGAAAAACACAAATCAAGTTTAACTCATTCTTTGAAAGGAATTTTGAAGAGACATGAAGCAATCTACATTTTCCCAGGCCTACCAGAAGTAAGTGTCTAGAAGTATGTATGTATGTATATATATATATATTATTTTTTTAAAGAGAGAGAGAGAGAGAGAGAGAGAGAGAGAGAGAGAGAGAGAGAGAGAGAGAATGAATGAGAATTTTAATATTTATTTTTTAGTTTTTGGCGGACACAACATCTTTGTTTGTATGTGGTGCTGAGGATCGAACTCGGGCCGCACGCATGCCAGGTGAGCGCGCTACCGCTTGAGCCACATCCCCAGCCCTAGAAGTATATTTTTAAAATAAAATACTTTTACTAAGAAGATCATAAGGCTGCTTTACAAAAAGACCAGTCCATAGGAAAGCAGAGATGCTGTGCTGATGATTATTTTATTTGTAAAATTTGGAGGCTGTATCCATATACTGAGAGTGGAGAATACTTTAAAAAGCAGTAGCTTGTATTCCTTCATCATCACCATCCATACTATTATTCTTTCATTCAAAAGATCCAGGTAAGGAACATGCTTTGCTATAGCTTTCAAAGCTGCCTTTTGGATCTCAGTGTTCTTCATCATTAAAATTAAAAATGACCAGATGAAATCATTTAATTATGAATGACTTAATACTGTTCTTAAAAAAGAAAGGAATACAAAGCCAATTAAACACAAAATAGCAACTGTGACTATTCCAGAACTCCCAGTAAATTTACCCATGAACAGAGAATAGTGAAAAAGGGTGTGGGAGAGGGAGATGGATTCGATTTAGATTATTTTAACATTCATTTGAATTCAACACTATTCTAGGTTATTTATACTAATGACTCCTCAAAAAATTATAATGTATTCTTAGTGTAGAAAATTTACCACTACAAAATAGACTTCAATTAGAAATAAAAGCAAAGTCATCACCAGGACTTTTAGCCAACCCCCTTCCCCATGTTTCCATTTTTTGACTCTAATAATGACACAATGACAGCTGACCAGTTGACCACATCCCTTGCTTTTTCTTTTTTCTTTTTTTTAAACTTATCCCACTCATGTCTAAACTCCAAATCCTAATCTAACTTGTCTACAGCAACTCATCAGAAAATTAGCCAATTCCCACTTTATTAAATTCTGGGCATGGGAACTGATAGAAACCTGGTTTCCAGTCTTAACTCTGCCTCTAATTTGTGGGTGGATGTGGTGATAGGCAGATTATTTACTCTCTCTGGATCTATATAATAATGATTATGATTAAATTGCATCCATGGTACCTTCCAGCACTAAATTTCTGTAATACTATCTAATTTTCTTTTATTGCTGGAATCAAATGCACTGCTACTTAGTACAATTTACCTAAATGTTCTGGCCCTTTGCAAACAGAATACAGTGCCTTGCCTTAGATACAATTTTCCACAGGGCCTAGGGCCACTTATCTCCCATGTGTCTTCCACTCAATTCATAGAATGTAAAAACAGGCCTGTCTAAAGTAAACAACTAAGATTGCCAAAGGATGCATATTATCAATTCTTAGCTGCTTTATAAAGCCTTGGTCTTGATGATATGTGGAATTGTGACTTTTTCCAGACTTCAGTACAGTAATCAGGCAATAGCTGATATATCTTTCTTTGCATTGTATTAACTCAGTTTAGCAAATACCCACTGAAAGATTACAATGAACTAGGTGCTAAAGGGTAAACAAGGATGAATAAAAAGCTTATAGACTAATAGAAGACAAGGTGATAAATGAAAGAAGGAGTAAGAAAGAGAAGACCAAACAAAGGATAAGGTAAATTTAGGATTGATAATATTCAAATTCAAGAGAGAGAGGCAAAAAAGTCACACAAATTTGATCCATAAAAGGAAACTATTGAGGGCTGGGGTTGTGGCTCAGTGATAGAGTGCTTTGCTAGCATGTGTGAGGCACTGGGTTAAATTCTCAGCACCACATATAAATAAATAAATAAAAAATAAAGATCCTCAAAAACTAAAAAATAAAAAAATAAAAGGAAACTATTGATGTATACTTTACATACAATAAAATACAGTGTTTCATTTTGACAAATGGATACACTCCTGTAACCACTCTAAAAATCAATCAGTCCAAAATGTTACTTTGTTCATATTTGCAGTTAATCCTCCACTTCAGGCAATCACTAATTTGCTTTCTGTCACAATATATTAATTTTGCCTGTTCTAGGACCCCATGTAAAGGGAATCAGACATAATGTACCATTTTGTCTAGTTTTTTTCTCTTAACATTTATGAGATTCATCCATGTTGCTGGGCAGTGTAGTTTTGTTCTTTTTGCATAGTGGAATTCTGTTGTATGGATATAACATTGTTTAGCTATTCATCTGCTGATAAATATTTAGGTTGTCTCAAGTTTCTGGCAATTATAAACAGATCAGCACAATAAATGCAGTAAAAAAACTTTTAAAAAATTTACCTAAGCTTTTTATTTCCCTTAGGAAAATATTTAGGAATAGGATTGTTGGGTATCAAAAACATTCTCCCAAAGGATTTAAAAATCAGCATACTACAGTGATGCAGCCACATCAATGTTTATAGCAGCTCAATTCACAACAGCTAAACTATGGAACCAACCTAAATACCCTTCAATAAATGAATGGATAAAGAAACTGTAGTACATATACACAATGGAGTATCAGCATTAAGAGAGAATAAAATTATGGCATTTGCAGGTAAATGGATGGAGTTAGAAAATATTATGCTAAGTGAAAGGGGTGGGAGGGCATGGAGAGAATGGAGAAACTTGGATTGGGCAAAGAGAGGGAGAGAAGGCGAGTGGGCAATTGGATAGGAAAGATGGTAGAATGAGATGAACTCATTACCCCGGGTACATATATGACTGCACATGTGGCATGACTCTGCATCCTCTACAACCAGAGAAATAAAAAGTTGTGTACAATGAATCAAAATGCATTCTGCTATCATGTACAACTAATTAGAACAAATAAATATTTTTTAAAAATTAAAAAAAATCCCCAAAGGATTTTTCTTGATAAGCAGATGCTGATCCATAATGGGGGGTGTGTGTGTGGGGGGGGTAGGTCAGGAATAATGGAGGAACTCTGGACTGGACAGAAGGGAATGAGAAGAGAGGAGAGGATGTGGGGGTGGGAAGGATGGTGGAATGACAGACATTATTACCTCATATATATGTATGATTGCACAACTGGTGTGACTCTGCATCATGTACAGCCAGAGGAATGAGATGTTGTGCTTCATTTGTGTACAACGTGTCAAAATGCATTCTGCTGTCATGTGAAACTAATTAGAATTTTTTAAAAAGCATATCCTTCCTTTACTTTTGTAAGAAACTGGCAAACTATTTTCACAGTTGTTGTGCCATTTTATATTCTTATCAACAGTGCATGAGGGTTCCAGCAATTTCATAATCTCATCAATGGCTGGAATTTTTAATGTTAATCTTAGAATGGGTGTAAGACAGTAGTGAAATACGATTTTTTTTGGGGGGGGTGGTGGTGAATATTGGGAATTGAACCT